CATACTATATCATACATACCATTTAATATATACTCTAGTATTATACTATATATTATATCATTATCACTTATAGTATCTATATCACTAGTACTTCATTATTTAATTATCACTATCTTCCATACATTACATTACCACTAACATATATATTATATCTATATATATATATCCTATACTATTAACTATATATATATATTATATCGCTCTATTACCTTTATATGTACTCTCGTATATATACTATATATATATTATATTATTACTTCTATTATATCCTTTACTTATATCGCTATCGTGCATATAAACACATGACACACAGCCCAATAAGCACAATATATATATGCTTGGTGTGTATGTGTGTGTGTGTGTGTATGCTGTGTGTGTGTGTAGTGTGTGTGTGTGTGTGGGCTGTGGTGTGTGTGTGTGTGGTGTTGTGTTGCATGTGTGTGTGTGTAATCAAAGTGTGTTATGTTTTATGTGTTTTGTACGATTCGCGCAGAGCCTTGTAGGCTAGACTGAATGTTAGTTCGGGTCGCCATCATGTGATTGAACCAGACCGGTGGTCGGTCGCCCGAGTTTTGTGATAATCATCTCACGTCACAGCTCACTACAGTTCTTGACTAAGGTTGTTGCACTCGGTCATCGGCACCCATCACTCTTCGTTGTCTGTGTCCTCTTTTTGTTTTGTTTGTTTGTCTTGCTCTCCCTCTCGTTCTCAGTCTCTCGATCCCTCTTCGTACAATTCTCTGTCTCTCTCTGCTCTCTCTCATCCTTCTTCTCTTCTTCTCAGTTGAGTCTCCATCTCGCCTGTCTCTCTCCAGTGAAGTCTCTCTCTCTTCTCAATCCACTCTTTCATCCCTCATCCTCCTCTCTCTACTCTCTCTTTCTCTCCTCTTCCCATAGTCCCCCTCCGCATCTCTCCTCCTCATCTCTCATCGTTCTCTCCTATCTCGTTCTCTCGTAATCCTCTGTTCTCTCCCTTGCTCTCACCTCTTTCTTCAACATCTTTTATCATCATCTCGGTCCTCTCTCTCTCTCTCTCTCTCTCTCGCTTCTTATATCTCATAATCATTCAGCTCCTACTATCTCCCTGCGTGCACCTCGGTCACTTGCTTTTGTAATAGTAGGAATGGTTGTTGCGCGGACAATAATAGCAACGTCGGCGGTAGGCACTCCTTAGGAAACAAACAAACAAACAAACAAAAAGAGACAAACATGAATAAAAAACCAATCACCTTCGTTTCTATTCTTGTTGTTGCTGTTGTTATTATTACTGCTATCACTGGTATTACCACTGTTATTATTACTCTTGTCACTGGTATTCCCGCTGAACATCGAAATACTATGATCTATGAAAAAAAAAGATAATTGATCATTATATAACAATAGATATGATGATAATGATACCATAGATACAACAATAATAACACTAGAAATGGTTGTAAGTGATAATAAAGATACGGATAACAAAGATGATAGTAACGATAATCGTCATCATCATTATCATCATTATTAATATTATCATTATTATCATTATCTTTATTATTATTATTGTCATTATTTTTATCATTAGCTTTATTATCATTATTATTATCATTATTATTATGATTATCATCATCATCATAATTATTGTTATAATCATAATCATTATTATTATCATTATCATTATCATTATCTTATGCATTGTTATTAGTGTTATTATTATCATCATCATCATCATTATTATTATTACTCTCATCATTATCATTATTATCATTATCATCATTATTATCATAATGATGAGAATTATTATTAATACCAATTATTACTATTACTCTTATAATAACCACCATCAGTTCTCATTGTTATCATTAGTAGTAGTAGTAGCAGTATCTTCATTATAATCATTATCGTTATTACATTATTATTGTCATTATTATTATCATTACCATTATTATCAATATTACTATTATCAATATTGTTATCATTATTATCATTATTATTATCATTACTATCATTATCATTATTATCATTCCCTAATATTATAATTATCATTATTATTACTATTATTATTATCCTTATCATTATTATTGTTATTATCATTATCGTAGGAACATGACATTGTTGATATTATTATCATCATCAAACTCATTATCATCATTATCATTTTATAATTTATATCAATTCATATTGTCATCATTATTGTTATCGTAATCATCATTATTGTCATTATTATTATCATTATCATCATTATTATTATCATTGTTATAATAATAATAATATTATTATTTATTATTATATTATTATATTATTATTATTTATTATTATTATTTATTATTATTATTATTATTATTATTATTATATTATTATATTATTGTTATTATTATTATTATATTATTATTATATATTATTATATTATTATTATTATTATTATTATTATCATTATCATTGTTATTAATACTGTTATCAGTATCATTGTTATCATCATCATTTCTATTATCATAACAATTATCATTGTTATTCCTCTCATTATCATCATCATCATTACTGTTACAACTCTCATTATCATTATTGTCATCGTTATCATTGTTGTTACTGTTATCATTTTCATTACAATTTGATACATATTTTACAATATCATCATTCTTATTAAAATTGCTATCATTGTTATCCTTATTTTTTAGTATTATCATTGTTATAATTATAACTACTATTAGTATTATTATCATCATCATCATCTTTATTATTATCATTATCATTATTATTATTATTATTGTTGTTGTTGTTGTTGATGTTATTACCATTATTATTTTGTTACCTTTATTGTCATTATTATTATCATTATTATCATAATTACTTTTACTATAAGAATGAGGATAATAATAATTATGACAATCATTATCATTATTGTTATTAGCATTATCACTTCCGCCAAAGAGGTTATGCTTTGGTAGCGTTGGTTAGTTAGTTAGTTTGTTTGTTCATTAGCAGGATAAATCAAAACGCTATGATCATTTTTACCAAATATATCTGCCTAACCTAGCTGCCATTAAATTTTGGTGGTGACCCGGATCATGGTCCGGATCCAAGATTTTTTTTTTTTAAATGGTTGTATCGGAGTAACTATTACCATCATGTCTAGGAGGTCTCCAGTGTACTTGGCAAAGAGGTTATTTTAACGTAATTTTTAAAGTGAATATTTCTATTGTATCAGTGACTCTATTGCCTTGGCGGAGGTATGCGTATTTATTCATAACTTTTTGAGTTATCTTGTTAACGAACAAAGTAACCAACGCTACCAAGTACATAACCTTCTTGGCAGAGGCAATGAAAATGATAATAATGATAATAATGATAATACTGATAATACTGTTAATAATGATAATAATGATAATAATGATAATAATGATAATAATGATGATAATGATAATAATGATAATAATGATAATAATGATAATAATGATAATGATAATAACAATAAAACTGTTGATAATGATGATGGCAATGAATATAATGATAATAATGATTAACATCAATTAACAACAAGAGTGACAATATCAATAATTATAATAGTGGTAATAAAAATGATAATAACAAAAACAACGATAATAGTAATAATAATAATGATACTACTACTACTAAAAATAATGATAATAATAATGATGATAACAATAATAATAAAGATGTATATTATCATAATAATGAAGATATGAGCAATGATAATCCTGACAATAATAATATTGGTATTGATAATGAAAATAACAACAACGACGACAGCAACAAAAATGATAGCAATGATACTAGTAATAATAATAGTAGCAGTAGTAGCGGCAGTGAAAACACTGTTTCAGTTTCCATGATAATAGGAAAAGTGATTTAGAACTTTATAATGATGATGGTAATAATAATATCAATAATAATGATAAGGATGATAGTAATGAGAATGATAACAATGATAATAATAATGGTAATAATAATAATAATGATAATCATAATAATAATAATATTTGAAACGGAGGTATAGTCACCAATTTCTTGGTTAAGTATAAATCACTTACTTCCATCATCTATCTACAATCCCCACATTCTGATTGATCAACCAATCTACCTAACATCTATCTACCTCCCCTTCCATCCATCTACCAATCCATTTATACATCCATCTGTCTCCCCATCTACCTCCGCCTTTTACCCCACTCACGCTGCCCATTGTCCAGTCCCCCTACCTTGTCTACGCTGGAGTTGTAATGCACGCGGCCCCACGGCTCCGGTATTGGTGTCAATAGGTCTGTGTCAGGCGAGTCTTGGGATGCATACCGCAGGGAGGCTTGTCGAGGGACCGAGGGTATGTAGGGTTAAGGCGGTTAAGGGGGGGGGGGGGAATTAGGAAAAGGATAACGTCTTTCACATGTCTCGTTATTATCTTGAGTGGTTGAATATATTAGTGTTCACTGTTGGTTAGAAAATTGGTTCTTTTTATATTGGGCTTATTTTATTTTCTTGTCAGTTGATTGTTTAATAGAATTAATGGTATCTGTTATTTATTTGTTTCTGTCCTTACTCTTAAGCGGTACGAGCAATAGTCTTATAAGAGCCAGTCATGCAGAAAACATCGCATCGCGGGACCGGGCGAACGTATACTCACAAATACACGTAGTCCAAGACATCGGTAAAGACACACCCACTGAGTCTAGCTCCTCCCAGCGACTCCTCTTGGCTCCGCCCACCCTAGTATGGTAACAGCGCCCTCTTCGTGGTCATGGAAGAGCCGTAACGAGGTCACTGGAACTCACGTGAGGGACTGTGTGACGTCACACGCGTTATTCATGGTATAGACCTACCCATCTCTCGCTCTGCTTTCACAAATTTCCAGGCCTTTTATGAAAATAATTTCGGCGGTATTGTCAACACGGAAACAACCGGTTTGAAAGACAAATAACGAAAATGATAATAACCAATTAAGGGTTGCTAAGAACCAATTACACCAAAAAAAAGGGCACTTGTAATACGAGTGGACATCTAGTCCTATGGGCAGAGGATGCCAGATGTATGGCGTGATTATGGTATCCTTACCTTTCCATAGGCCTCTTCACACTACCCATAGCACTCACGGGAAGAACCACGTCGGAACAAGGTCTCTGCTATGGGTTTCCTTTTGTACAGTAAGTGGAACTGTCTCTCTTCTTGAGACGAAAACAGTCTTTGCACGAGATTTTTATTTCAATTATTATGATATTGTCTTCTATTGTTGTGCGTCTCTCTCTGTCCTTTGGCCCTTGTCCTCAGTCTCCCTTTTATATATTTGCGATGTTGGTGGGTTTTTCTCACTCGCGTTTGTTGTGATTGTTATTTCCATGTCAGTCTCCGTTTCCAATCACTTGCTGACTGTTCCTAAATATAGCACTGGTGGTCTCTCTCTCTCTCTTTATATATATTTCTCTCTTTCTTTATATATATTTCTCTCATTCTTTATATATATTTCTCTCTTTATCTCTATCTCTCTCTCCCTCTCTTTCTTTATATATTTCTCTCTTTATCTCTATCTCTCTCTCCCTCTCCCCTCACCCCCCCTCTCTCTCCTTTCTCTCTCTCTATCTTTTTCCTTCTCTCTCTCTCTCTCTCTCTCTCTCTCTCTCTCTCTCTCTCTCTCTCTCTCTCTCTCTCTCTCTCTCTCTCTCTCTCTCTCTCTCTCTCTCTTTCACGCTCTATCTCTCTTCCCCCCCTCTCTCTCGCTGTGTGTGTGTGTCTGTCTGTCTATCTATCTACCCATATGAATTGTTCATAAACACTTTTTACTATGTAGCATGATACGGCATGTCAATGATCGTGCCTTGAAATTACACAGGTACAACCTTCTATGATAGGCGTATGTGTGTGCAATTAGAGGTAAATAAAAAATAGATTGCAGGGAAGAGACGATTAAACAGGCGTAATACAGGCAAGAAGAAACAGATGTAGAAAAAGCCGAAGAGCGTGATAAACAGATGGACAAAGAGACAAGCTAACAGACAGGTGTGAAATAAAAGATTGGGTGCCGGGGGGCGGGGAGGAAAATAAGTTATTGACCAACAAAGCAAGGGAGGTTGATGTATGAGCATGCTAGTCTTCAAAATTGCGCGTGTGTGTTTGGCAGGTAGGGACGGTTTAATCTATATCGACATATAGAAAGTGTGACAGAATTATGAACAGATAAATCTAGATAGATAGGAAGTAGAAAGACATAATCAAACATATTTTCGCGTGTAGACAAGGTGAGCAGTCAGCCAGTTACATTAACAAAAAAGTGTGTAAGAAAGATATGTAACCTTGCTCGGCCCAGTCATCGAGAGAGAGAGAGAGAGAGAGAAAAAAATATTATAAGTCACTATCGGACCTCTAACCCATCCAGGTGTAATGCTGGTTTGTTTCTGGCTTTGGGAGCAGAAATGAACTAGATATTAGCAAAAAAAAAAAAAAAAAAAAAAGAAAAAAAAATATATATATATTAGAAAAGAAAAAAAAAAAAAAAAAGTATATATATATATATAATTATATATATATATATATATATATATTTATATATATATATATAAAACTTTCACTAACACATCTTCCTCCCCAACCCACCCAGGTATAGCAGGTTATTTCGGCCTTGGTAGCAGAAATATAAAAAAGAAATTGACCCTGAAAAAAACTAATACAAAAAAGAAAACTTTCACTCATCTACCCTTCTAACCCCTGCCTCTCCCTCCCCCAAGGTGTAGCAGCGCTGGCTTTTTTCGGCCTGGCTGGGGGCAGAACCCTGGCCTCGGAGCTGGGCCTCGGGAGCAGAACCCTGGGCCTCGGGAGCAGAACCCTGGGCCTCGGACTCCCTCTCGGCGGACCTCCCCGGCCACCTCTTCGCCGCCCGGGACAACGACGTCCTCTCCGCCCTGACGTGGGCGACGCTCGACCTCAGCCACCTGCGTCAGGACTTCGACCACCTCTCGGCCGCCACGTCCTTCGGGTCCCTCAACGCCTCCTCGGTCTCCTCCCGCAGCCTAGGTCACTCGCGGCGGAGGAAGAGGAGGTCCCTGTCCTTCCAGATCAATCATGATATTAACTCTCAGGTAAGTCTGTTTTCTGTGTCTTTTCTGTCACTTTTTGATATTTTGTTTGTTTCTTTCATGTGTGAGATATTTATTTGATATTTTCATGTTGAATTATTAAATGATCTTTTGAAAATAAATCGTGGAATGAATACTGACCGTCATTCTATTGTCGCCCTCTTTCCCTCTTTCTTTTTCTGTCTCTCTCTCTTTCCCTCATCCTTCCTTCCTTCTCTCTCTCCTCTTCTCCCTCCTCCTCTCTTTCTCCCCATCTCCTTTCCCTCTCCCTCTCTCTCCTCTCTCCTCCCTCTCCCTCCCTCTTCTTTCCTCTCCCTCCCTTTCTCCCCCTATCTTTCCTTCCTCTCCTCCCTCTCCCATCCCTTCTCCCCCCTTTCCTTTCCTCCCTCATCTCCCCATCCTCTCCCCCATCTCTCTTCCCTCTCTCTCCCGTTCTCTCATCTCCCCTCCAGCTGGAGATGAGATTCAAAATACCGCTCTTCGAAGTGATAGAGCACACCTTCTTCATGTTCGAGCTGCCCCTCACCTACCAAATCGACATCTGGCAGACGGGGAGCCGCGGCCACTCGAGGAACAGCGCCCGTGGGGAGGGGGGCTTGACCGAAGCTCTCTCCCAGATCGAGGACGTGGTGTCGATGTGAGTCTTAGGGGGCGTGGCCGTGTGGGCGGTTCTCTCTCTCTCTCTCTCTCTCTCTCTCCTCTCTCTCTCTCTCTCTCTCTCTCTCTCTCTCTCTCTCTCTCTCTCTCTCTCTCTCTCTCTTATTATCTGTATTTACTTTTTACGGCATTGATATTGATAATGATAATAAGGACATTGATGATAATGGTGATAATCAGAGGTGGGCCGATATCCGAATCTACAATTACATCATTCTAAAATGAGAGAGAGAGAGAGAGAGAGAGAGAGAGAGAGAGAGAGAGAGAGAGAGAGAGAGAGAGGAGAGAGAGAGAGAGAGAGAGAGAGAGAGAGAAGAAATGAAAGAGTGTGGGAGAGAGATAGATTTGTCAGAGAGAATATCGTTGTGCAGGGTAACTAGAGAGAGTGATAGAATTATTATTATGTTAAGATAATAATGATAGTGATAAGGATGATAGTATTCATATTGATATTAGCAACAGTGATAACAACGATGATGACAATAACAAAAAAAGACTAACAACAAGAATGATAATAGTAATGATAATAATGGTAATGATAATGATATCGATAATGATAATACTGTTAACAATGGTAATGATGTCAATGATGATAATGATAATGATGACTATACTGATCATGACTAATAACAAATCATGAAAATGATACTAAGACAAAAGCACTGATAATGATCATGGTAATGATAAAGAGAATGATAGTAAAAATCATAACATTGATAATGACAAAAAAGCAGATGAATAAAAGTAAATAATGATAATGATAGTCGTAATAATGATAAAAATGATGATATAATAATACTAGTAATAAAATGATTAAAAATAGTAAAGATAATCATTGATAAATATATATATAACAGTAATAACAATGACTAAAATATTGAGAATAATGACAATACTATTAGTGATAATAATGATAATAGCAATGATAATCATCATCACTGATCTTACCTTTATCATCTTCATTATTACCATTACTGTTTATTATTAATATCATTATCAGTTATGCATATCATATTATGATTCATGTATCATATATTATCATAATTATGATTAATGAATTTCATTATGATTATCATCATTATCATTGATGTATTATTCATTATCATTATGATTTATGATTGTAATTATCATCATATTATATTACTACTATCATATTGCTATCATTTCATTATTATCACTTATCATAATTACTACTATCATTATTGCTATCATTATCATTATTATTATCATCACTACCTTCATCATTATCTTTATTATAATAGCATTCTGTTATCATCATCATAAATATTATTACTGTTATCATTACTGTTATCCTTATTACCATCATTATTATTAGTAGTATTAGTATTATCATTATCATCATTAATTATGATTGCTATCACCATTATCCTTATGTGTCTGTTTTCACTGCTGTTACTGCTATTATTTCTATTGTTATTACTTTAATCATTATTATTACTATTGTTATTGCTATTATTGTTATTATCATTATCATCATCATATGTATTGTTGTTACCATCATTGTCATTATCAACATTACTAATACTGTCATTATAATTATTGCCATTATCATTAATATCATTACCATTACCATCATTGCTGTTGTTGTTATTATTATTGTTTTGTTATAATCATGATTGTAGTAACAATAACAATAATTTTCATTACTACTATTTTTATCATTGCTATTGGTATTATCATTATCAACATTACTACTACTGCTATTATCATTATTGTCATTATCGCAAATATAATCATAATTATGATAACAATGATAATTATATTATAATTTAATTATTATTATTATTATTATTATTATTATTATTATATTAATTATTATTATTATTATTATTATTTTCATTATCATTATTATTTTCCTCATTGTCATTATCATTATCATTCTTTTTACTATCATAATTACTAATGCTGCTGTTATAGTAATGATGATGATAATTATGATAATGATAATAATGATAATAAAAATAGTAATAATAATGATAATAAAGATAGTAATAATAAATGATAATAAAATAAATAATAATGATAATAAAAATATATAATAATGATAATAAAAATAGTAATAATAATGATAATAAAAATAGTAATAATAATGATAATAAAAATAGTAATAATAATAATGATAATAATAATAATTGTTATTACTGTTATTATTATCATTAACATTTTTATTGTTTTCATCATTATTGTTATCATCATAATAATCATCAATATTGTTATCATCACCATTATTAGTGTTTTCATCTTTATCAATATCTTTAATATCGTTCATGATAATTATCATTATTTTCCTCAATGTCATCATTACTTTCATTATCATTACTATCATTATCATTACTCTCATCATCATTATTATCATTACCATTATCATCATCATTACTATAACCATCATTAATTGCTTTTATTTTATTATTACAATTACCATTATCATCATCATTACTATAACCATCATTAATAAAATAATCATAAGCATCGTTATCATCACCATCTTGCTCCCACCTTTATCACTGTATTGCTATTCCTCATTCTCGGCGCAGGCTGGGCGTTGACGGACGGGCGTGCGTGAAGAGGACCTTCTGCGAGCTGGCTGCCGGGACGCCGTTGCTCCGCCCACAGGGTCTCGCCGGGGAGATGGTGCAGGTGTTGGTGGAGTGAGTGTCAGCTTCGTGTCAGCTTCGTGTCCGCCAAATGTGGATTTTCTTTGGTCTTATTCTTTTCTTTGACGGTTTCTGTCTATGAATTTATTTGTCTGTATCATTATCTCTATTTATCCATCTGTCTACCTGTTTCTGTCTATAAATTTATTTGTCTGTATCATTATCTCTATTTATCCATCTGTCTACCTGTTTCTGTCTATAAATCTACCTGTCTGTATCACTGTCTACCTGTTATCTACCTGTCTGTATCACTCTCTATCTCTTATCTATTTATCCATCTATCTACCTGGGTATTTATCTATCTTGTCTAGCTATACATTCATCCTATATATGTGCCTGTCTACTTCTCTGTCTCTCCCTTCTTCTCCCCCCCTCACACACACACACACACACACACACACACACACACACACACACACACACACACACACACACACACACACACACACACACACACACACACACACACACACACCACACATCACACTCCCTCTCTCACTCTTTTTTCTCTCCCTCCTTCTCTCCTTCCCCTCTCCCTCCTTCTCCTTCTCCCTCTCCCCATTCTCACCCACCTCTCTTCCTCTTCCAGTTACCTCGCGAAGTCCCAGCCCCCCGAGGACACCAACGAGGTCGACGTCGGCGCCAACGAGTACCTGCGGGCGAGCGTGAAGGGGCGCGCGGGAGGCCAGTGCTGGGAGGCCTTCCCCGAGTGCCCGATGTCGCTCCTGAACCTCTTGAACCCTTGACTCTCTCTCGTCTCGAACTTCTCGTCTTCCTAAGGTCTCGATCCGTTGGTGCATTTTCTTAATTCGTTTCTCTTTGATGTGTTTGTATCTTGGTCTTTATTAGTGTATTTTTTTGATTTATCATTTTATTATTATTTATTATTACCACTACTACTAGTAATTATTATCGTTATCATTATCGTTATTATCATTATCATTATTGTTATTATCATCATTATTATTATCATTATCATTTTTTTTTCTATTTGCTTCTTTGTTTCTGATTTCTTTGGCTCCATTTTTTTTATTTTTTTATTTTAGCTCTTAAACTTCTGTCTGGTTCCTAATCCTTGTGGCTCCTTCGCGATTCCTTATCCTTGTGAGACCATGTTGTTGCTGTTTATTTATTTACTTGTTGTGTGTAATATTAGCGCTAATTGTTCTTATCATAGATAAGTTACTCTTCCTCGTGTCTTCCTATTTATCCAGAAATTGCGCTCCCACCATGAACGCTCTCAGGAATTTTAATCGTAGTCCATTATTTATTTTACTAAACACTAGACTCAGGAATTACTGTTAGTTTATTGTTATTTTATTTAGGTTTAACACATGCTCCCGTAATTCTAAGAAACATTTTGATTCACTCTTCAACGTTAATTGATCCAGTAAGCAAGTATGTGATATTCATGGTTCGTAAGGAAAGCTATTTTTTTTAAACTTTTCTAATTCTCAAGGATCAGGATTTTCTTTAATTGAGAAAAAGGTATGAATGAGCATAAATATCTTCATCATGAAACCCTCTTGCTCCCATCGATTCTCATTCATACCTTTTCAACTTTTGTCTGTCATGAATGGTTCACATTTTACTTTAGGGCGAGTCTTCCACGTCTAAATATTCGGGCTTAGTTTCTTCCTCTCCCGTTCTCTAAAGCAATTCTGTCCAAACATTTTCGCCTATTGTACCCTTTATTACCTTCTTGTACTGTTACGTACCTCCCCCCCCCCCCCTTCACCATGGCTAAACAAACTGTATTCAGGATAATGCAAATAATATACCAATTATGGAAAGACTGCACTCCAGAAGTGTTGGTCAATAAATTCGAATTTAATGCACGAATAAAAAGATGATTTAATAACGAAATGCTTGGAAAATACTTACACAACTTAATGTGAGATGTGAGGCGTGTGAGTTCCTTGTTTGTTCACGTACCCCTATGATCTATGCTGCGGACCCCAGTTTGGACAACACTGCTCTAAAGCATCGTGCGCATTACTTATCAATGCAATTCTGATGCATTTGCTTTTTTTATCTCTTCAATCTCTTATTGGATATTCACGTAATTATTCATGTTCGCTTTACGCTTTATCTATTATGTATCTATTTA